CAACACTATTCCAGAATACAATTCCATGTAACGCAACCTCATCAATATTGGATTTCATTGCTTCTAAAGTAATCTAAAAAAAAAAAAAAAAAAAAAATTTGGCACAATGTATGTTCGAACGATAATCCTAGAAAAATTAATTAAGAATTTTAATGGTGAAATTTTTTATCAATGCTTTCATTTATTGATCTTAAGTACCTTAAGACTATTAAAATAGATCTTTTATAACAGTATGAATCTGCACACAAGTGGGCTGTCAAGTATTTTCACTTATCTATTCTTATGACACTTATTTTCTTGATAAATTACTTTATCATAATCATTAACAAGAGACACATTTTGTTTTACTAGTAACTATCGCAATTTATTTATTTTTTTTTTTTCACGATTTTTAATATTCGTTCTTTTTAGTAATGCCTGCCAATGAATTTTATATAGTACATCAAAAAACTATACTTAGAATGTTAGCATTTAAAATGAGATAAATACTTTGTTGGTACTAAAAATGTCTGCAGTCAACTTTTTGTAACCTTTTTTAGTAAAGTAATTCCAAAGTGTTGATAACTGATTTTTAAAATTAAATTAGTATAAAGTATAACTTACCCCAAGTAGTGCTTGTGCCATGTACGGTTCCATATACTCATAGTAAAGTATAACAATCTCAGTAAGACATTGTAAAGAAGCTACTTTTATTTCTATATCTGTTGATTGTGTCGTTTGACAAACAACTTCCATTATGAAATTTCTTTCTGACTGAAAAATAAAAAAAAAAAGGTGAAGTAAATCTTTTACGGCTTTCAATCAGAATATGACGTTATTTTAATAGCAACATAGTATAAAAGCCTGATTAAATGAAATACAATTTGCGAGAAAATGAAACCACTCTTATTGTTATTTAACTTAACTGGTTGAAAAAAAAGTGTTGCATGGTGATTTATAGCCCCTATCATTACATCATTGTGGTGTTGTTCAACAGTCTTATGCACTTTAGTGTGCTTACGTTTACTTGGATGAAAAGATATTTGCTAAATTAATTTTATACATGAAATATTATATTTTCATTAAAAAATGCCACTCTGAACATTCTTCCTGCATTGAAGGATCTTGCAAACATTATATATGTATGTACCTATTTTAATGTACGTAAGTCGATAAGTCGCAAAATATAAGTATAACAAAAAAAGTTGATCTCAAGTGGGGTCATTTTACAGATGCCTTTATTAGGAGAAAGGCTTATTTTGTTATGAAAGTATTTCTGATTATTGTTAGCTATAAAAATTAATGAAATAATAATCTTAATCATTTATGTCACTGAATAAAATAAGAAAAATCATAATGTATTCGATTTTATCTATCTTAAGAGTAGAAAAACAATTGTATTCATAAAAAGTTGATGCCTTACTTTATACTTTTTTAACGAAAGGAGGGTTTAGTGAGATACCATTTGTCAGCTTTATCAAAATAGTTCAATAAACAGCTGTCGATCTATTAGGTTCTAAATTAAAAAATTTCACCTAATATTGTTTCAGTAACTCAAGTATCCACAAAGGCTGCAGTAAACATCGGTACAATAGGGGTAAACGGTACAGTTGTTGACCCCCCGATAGTGATTGACCGCCACATGCATTTTTAAATGGAGCATTTATATATAGATATACAAATTATACAGGGGTCAATCACTACCTTAAGGTGTCAATAACTGTACCGTTTACCCCTACGCAACTTCAATCCGTGTAAGTAAATTATAAGAAGAAACGTACCTCGATTTCAAAGTTACTTTCTGCAAATTCAAGTGAATTGATGAGAGCGTTTGTAGCAGATAAACGTAAACGCATCGATGTGTCAGATCCTCTCATATTATTGACAATAGCTGTAAGGATCTGATTTGACTGAGAAAATACAGCATCACATTTTATTTCTTCACAAGTATATCCTATCGCGTCAAGAGTCGCTTCCTTCACTCTTTCAGTGCTATTCGGATTAGTTGCATTATTTACCAATAGTGGAATCAGTTCTTGCCATTGATCGACTAAGAGCTCAGCAGCAGCTACGTGTGCTATGCACAGCGCAACTGAACTTGGTCGATTCGTTTCCGTGCCCAAGGCTTCTAATAACTGAATTCAAAGTCCAATTGTAAGGTTAAAAAAATTGGTACTAGTGAATGGTATGTCATCATTAAAAAAATTTTTAACTATTTAGAAGTAAAGGTTTAGTCTATAGTACACTATATACGTATGGTATCATACAAAACTCCTTAATTGTGAATATAACTGATCCATAATAATACTGTTGCCTTATGAGCTTTAATCATGCATGCATCAATAAAATACTCACATTTTTTTTTACGTATTCTCTTGTATCCGTGGGGAATGTAAGCCATCTTCGTCGATATTGCTGTTTTAGTTTGAACTCGTTAGAGCAAAGTGGATTTTNAAAGAAAGGAATAACGCACGATGATATACTGTCACGTGTGTATATATGTATACTATGTATAGTAGTTGGCGAGTTTGACGTACTGCTCACTCTCTGCACATGATAGTTTTAACAAACTCATGCTAAAATATAAAATAAGTTTAATTATTTAAATTTTATAGCTTCGATACTTCTTATAAGTTAATATTGTGTGATGGAATGAAGTTTTGGGTTTACTTTTTTCGATTAAGTTATGAAAAATGTTATCGAATCTAAAAAAAAAAAGAAAAATATGAGCTGATGTATCCTTTTAATCAACGTAAAAAATGTAAAAAAAATTAATTTCAAATAGTTTATATATACTATCATCTTGCTTAATTCGATTTATTCGATTTTATAAGCACATAAATCAAATATTTAAGAGGTTTAAGCAATCATCATTCACTATTTTAAATAAAATCTCGATTGGACAAATATCCCGTTTCCTGCTAAAGCACCGAATTTTGGACACTGATAACACAGCACTGAAAAAAATTTATTGTTTAAACAGACCAGATAACTATTTGCTATTCAGAGGTTTTTTAGGATAAAAAAGATCGCTAATTTTTATTACCAAATTTAAATCAGCAAATAAATATGGGAAATGACTAGTATTGCATGGTGTAAGGCTCACCAATTAAAATACATAACAAGACTTCATTAAATCATCACTAACGTTAACAATAGTCTTTATGTATTAGATAGTCATGTAATAAGTATTTTTTAAATAATTAACTGTTTGAGTTAACAAATATTTACCAGATTAGACCGTGCAGCATGATGCAAAAAGTTTTGAGCGATTTCTAGTTCAACATTATCTGTAAAAAAAGTTACCATAATTAGTAAGTGTTATGAATATCGACGACCATTTTTATTTGTATTTCCTAATGTAAACTTGATGATGCACAAATCAACTTTTACTTATATCTTGTATGGTTTAAGGAACGGTTAAAATTATAACATGCATGTTAATCAATTTACAAATAGATTTTGATTCAACT